TATACTTATGATCATGTTATGCTGATGATGATATAGTGCTGATTATATCATGATGAGGCAACTACGGTGTTCAAGAGCGTGTTCTCCTCACGCTTACACAAAAACAAAGATCCCCTGTGTAGACTTAACAGACTGTAGGGGCAAGTGCTGTTCGCAAGCACCTATGAAGGCCGGAATGGCACACGAGGGGGATGGGAGGCCAGCATCACGCTCGACCGCCTTTGTCTCCCCAGTGGCGATGTTTACACACCGCACCAGATACTCATTTGAGGCTGAGTCGACCTAGGGGAGGCCAAAGACCGATTCTGATAATCGCCACCGGTGTTGGCCGTGAGCGGGAATCGAACTCGCGTCGCTACACCACCGCTCCCCACCAGTAACACACAACAACAACAACCGCCATTCGCCACTAAGTGGTGGTCACGTCGCCACGACGCCGGTGCCAGGCTATGTGCACGTTGAGGCCACCACGTGAAGTGTCGAACGCCCGCCGGCAGGAGGTCACGGGGCAGACCCAGCAGGTGCCACGGGTTGACCGACTGAGACACACACACACAGCATCAGGCGCGCGAGCGAGCCAACGCTGAGCTGGTGCGCGTTTCACGTCGTAGCTATTATTATTCTTGTTGTTGTTGTTATTGTTGTTAAGGTGAATTGAGCCGCTGCATTCACACCCGGAGTTAGGACCGTCCATGTTGGGGGGGGGGGGGTGCAGTGGGCCCAGGTTAAACCCCCCCCCCCCGCCATCGATGCCTTCAAAGTATTACATCTGATGACGCCGCGACGTCGAAGAGCGAGCCCCCCCCCCCCCCAAGTGCGGGGCCCGGGACGGTCGCCCCGATCGGCCTCGTACCCTACCGACGGCTCTGCCAACAGCCCGTCTCTGACACCCAGACGTGCACGTGATGTTGTTGTCATGGGCGGAGTTTACTGGGGGGGGGGGGGCACGGGGGGGGGAACTGCCCCTCCCAGCCTGGACACATTTTATTAATTTATTTTCAGTAGTTTACAATTAAGATTAAAATTAATTGATTATATGCAACCGCGATTCCGAATGTAAGGGACAACGCGAACCCCTGCCTCCCCCAGCTAGAGAAGGACCCCCCCCCCCCCCCGATGTGTGCTGTCCTTCCCCGCACCTCCGATTAGCACGGTTAGCTACGTATGGTGCGAGAAGAGTGCAACATGCTTACATATGCGTACACGATAGATGTCCAATGTGGTGTGTACGCTGAGTGAGTGCTGTGTGTGTGAAACGGCATTTCTCGGCAATTCAACAACAGTGATGTCTCCTCGTTTCCCTTATCTCCACAACTTATTACAACTACTTCTTGTATTTGCATTGTGCTGATACAGAACTGGAGGTAATCACTCGTGGTAATGATTTGGAATGTTGTGAACATTTGTCAAGTGGAAGGAGCCCCCCCCACTCCTCCTCCTCATCCATTGCCTCCTCCTCCTCCTTCCCCTCTCCCACTCCTCCTCCCCCTTTCCCCCCGCCCCTCCTCCTCCTCTCCCTCCCCCCATCCGCCTCCTTCTCCAACATCTTCCACCAGATTGAGAAGTTTGGCAGACCACACGGGAGGCTGAGAACGCCAGACAAACACATTCACAGCAACGTTGCGAAGATTTGTCAGTCACGAAAACAATAGTCGCCTTCACCTCTCTGTCGATCTACATTTTTATAACTAAATAAACATTTACTAAACCCCATGAGTCTCACGGCCTTCTGCGAGTGCATCATTTCGGCAGCATTTGGTTCAATATGGCAAAGCTATGGGCCGGTTTTGGCGTTCAAAGTCTCATCGGCAGTCAGGCTGAAGTCATCCACACAAGAAACTGCGTGTGGCTCGTGGGATGTGTCGAAAAATATGAATGTGGTTTATGGTTTCACGTTGAAGGACATTTACCGCATTACACACTTCAGGTCACAACAACACACTCACCCACTCGCTCAACCACCCATTCACTCACCCACTCACTCATTCACCCATGCACTCCCTCGCCCACTTACTCACCCACTCGCTCACCCACCCTCTCGCGCACTCGCTCCCTCACTCGCTCACTCACGCACTACCTCACCCACTCACTCACCCACCCACTCCGCCGCTTGTTCTCTGAAACTATAAACTAATTTTTGTTTCCCAGCTAAGGCCCACTGAGCTGCATAGCTCTTTTTCAGAAGCAACCTGGCCACCAATGATAGCTCAACGAAGTAGCTAATCGCGTGGCAATGTACAGCAAGCAGCAAAATGCTCTAAACGCGTGTTGCTAAATGTGGAGGGGAAAACCGGAGGACCCGGAGAAGAATCCACGCGACCGCGGGGAGAAAGAGAGAGACACCGCAAACTCCAAGGTCAGGATCGAACCCACGACTTCCTGTATACCAGGCGAGGTAGTTAACATCTCCTAGCCACCGCGGCGTGGGGTCTGGAGGAGGGAGAAGGCAATGCGGGGTCCCCCCCCCCTACACCAATCCCTCCGGCACCCCACCACCCGGCTACATTTAGGTCTTTAAAATCATCGAGGTTGCAAACTTTTTTCTTTACAACTGTTTAGTTGGTTGTCCTTCCCCCGCACCTCCGATTAGCGCGGCTGGCTGCGTCCGGTACGAAAGGAGTTCAACGTACATCAGATCACACACCATGGTGATGACATCACACACCATGGTGACGACGTGCATCACATCACACACCATGGTGATGACGTGCATCACATCACCATGGTGACGACGTGCATCACATCACACACCATGGTGACGACTTCACACACCATGGTGATGACGTGCATCACATCACCATGGTGACGACGTGCATCAGATCACACACCATGGTGACGACATCACACACCATGGTGACGATGGTTCTTCTGTGGGGGCCGGTGCCTTGACGCCGGAGCGAGGCGAGAGGTGGGGACGTGACGACTTTCGCTCCCTCTCCTCTCGTGGCTCCCGCCTCTTCCACGACTTTGGTCCTCGGTGGCGCCGTGGACGCCACGCGACCCGCGACGACGAATTCCAAATCTCTAAATCTCTCCAACGGCGACAACATAAACGATCGCAGCGGAATAGCAGTAGTGCAGCCGGGGGACACGCCGAGTTTGTATTGGAGTTTGTGTTCTTGTTTATTTGCACAACACGCAGGCAATGTCCCAATTAGCGCGCAAGCGATCCGCAGTTTGCCTATCACGGCGTCGCTGCTGCTGCTGCCACTCGTTCACATTTTACTCAAATGTATTCGACTGGGGGCATTCGGAGGCGCGACACGAAGAAGTTACATCGGCAGCAACTCGAGCAATCGGCTGCAACTGAGGCGCAGAGAGCAATGCAAAGTTGCCGAGTTAAATTATCAGCGGCGCAGGTGAATCGAGGCGAAGGTCACGGATTTGTCGACGCCTTTGCGACAGGACGCGGCTCACACAGACAGACAGACAGAGAGAGATGAGCAACGAGAGAAGGGTCACGGTGCAGTTCTGCAGGAACTGTTGGTGAGTGCGTTTTTTGCTGCTGGAATTGCGCACTCCGAGAAGGCCGTGCGGCTCGTGGGCGATGTAACAAACAAAACAAATTGACGTGGAGAGTCGAACGTGTGAAGCAGATGTTCTTGATGGTTTATTTTGTTACCTGGCGATGAGGGGGGGGGGGGGGGTGCGAGGCGAACTCTCCATGTGGCCAAGCTGGCAAGTTAACAAGCTAAGCGGGTCCCGTGCACGAGCCCTTCTCTACTCCTTGCAAATGCGGCAGATACACCTGGACACAAGCCCGAACCACAACACGATTGCCAACCAGACACTAGTCCTGACTTCTAACCCCTAACCAGATCTCAATCCCATGCAAACTCGAACGTCAGTGGACAAGCCGACCAGACCGCAGCGTCGGACAACGAGAATCTCAAGGGGTCATCACAAGCGAAACGTCGTACTACTCAAATTGTAAACGCTGTGGCTTTACTCCCCAACACACCGGCGGGCTGAAGGAGTAACTCATTTGCGCGTTTTGTTAAAGTGAGCATCTCAATTCTAGATTTGAAGCTTTCGTGACTGCAAGGATTCATACTCTTAGTTCTTTCGGTAAAGTCACGTAGGTAAAAAAATGAAATTAAAATTAATAAAAAATAAAATTAAAATTAAAATCACGACGTTTCGGAGGCAACACAAGTCTCCGTCATCAGGTGGGACCGTCACAGCCAGATTTGCTGCATCAAGTGATGCAGCAAATCTGGCTTGGACGGTCCCACCTGACAGTCCCACCTCCGAAACGTCGTGATTTTTATTTTGTTTTTATTAATTTTAATTTAAAAAATTTACCTACGTGACTTTACCGAAATAACTAAGAGTACGAGAATCTCAACCTTCTCCGCCTCTCCCTGCGATGACATCGTCTCGACTGGCCGCCCAACTTCCACGATCTCGCGAGCATCACGCCTCGTCCCTCGCTCCCCAGCGCCGCATGCGGCCCTCTCCACGTTTTGATGAATTCACGTTTGATGTTGGAGCGCTCCCTCGGCCGCGTAATGATTTATTGACTCATCGACGTTCTTTATTTAACCACAAGAGAGGCTATTTTCACAAATCGTTATTCTGTTTTATGATTTAAAGGCGTGCGTGTCTGTGTGTGTCTGTGTGTGTCTGTGCGTGTCTGTGCGTGTCTGTGCGTGTCTGTGCGTGTCTGTGTGTGTCTGCGTGCGTGGTGGAGCGGTAGCGCGCTGCGCTACGAGCCCGGCGACCCGAGTTCGATTCCCGCTCACGGCCAACACCGGTGACAATTATCTGAACCGATTCTGGGCCTCCCCAATGTCGACTCAACCTCAAATGTAGTACCTGGTGCGATGTGTAAACATCGTCACTGGGGAGGCAAAGGCGGCCGGGAGTGGTGATGGTCACCCACCCCCTCGCGTGCCGTGCCGGTCGTCGTAGATGCTCGCAAACAGCACTTGCCCCAACAGTCTGATATGTCTATACGGGGCATCTTTGTCTTGTTGGGTGGTGTAGTGGTGGCGCAGATGTCATGCAGTGGATTCGCCAACGAACCCCGGCGACCTGAGATTGATTCCCGGTCACGGGAGCCCCAGGGGCCCCAGGAGGCCCAGGCGCCGGATTCAGGTGATCGTCACCGGTGGTGGCCGTGAGCAGGAAGCGAACCCGGGTGGTGGCCGGGTTCGTAGCGCAGCGCGCTAACCACTGCGTCACCGCTCCCCACTCTAACAGACAGACACCCTGCTCGCTCACTTCGTTGTCGCTAATTTGCCAATTACACAATCAACTCTCACCAACCACAGCTGCAACCGTGAGAGAACATCTGCCCCCCCCTCCCCACATCGCCCCCC